CACGAAGTCCGCGGCATGGTCACCTTCAAGGGCGACCACGTCAAGGTGCTCCATCGCTTTCTCGTCGAGAAGGGATTCTAGTATGGTGGATATTCTTAAAGGACTTTTTTTNACTGGACAACCTGGAGGAGATCAAGTGGGAGAACAAGGAGCAGACGATAGCCGTCACCAGGGTGTGCCGGGTAAGGGGAGACGTGTGGGCCTTCGAGGAGGCCGCCCGGCGGTACATTGAGGAGAATGCGTCCGTTGAAGAAGAGGGTGGTGAAAAAGGTGGTGAAGATCATCAGAAGTCATCTGAAGACGACGGTCACCGAAGAGTGCTGACGGCGGTGCACGAAGTCCGCGGCATGGTCACCTTCAAGGGCGACCACGTCAAGGTGCTCCATCGCTTTCTCGTCGAGAAGGGATTCTAGTATGGTGGATATTCTTAAAGGACTTTTTTTGTAGATAGAAAAATTGTTGAAGTTCTCTTGTATTGTTGTGTGTACAGTGTTAGCAGAAGAAGAGAGAAGGAAAATGAGGGAAAAATGAGCAAAAAATAAAGAAATTGTGTGAAATAAAAAAGGTCTGTAATACCTCTCTGAGGTATTACCAACTATCAAATTATCAAATCTGGGCTTCTGGTGGTATGTACAGTTGGTGGGGAAAACAGTGCATCTGGGCACCTATTTCGACTGCCTGGACCTCGAGGAGGAGGAGGATCCCTTAGGATGGTTTGTTGTGTTTTCCTCCGCCGGATTCCACTCGTCATCATCCGCCTCCTCCTCCCCATCCCCCTCGTCCTCCTCGTAGACCTCGTACATCTCATCGTCATCGTCCTCCTCCACCGCCAGCCTGTTGCTGCCTCGCTTCCCCCGCGATCGCCTCGACTTGTTTGCGGATGATGACTTGTTTTCGACCGTGTTTTGGTTGGCAACAGCAGCAGCAGCCGCTGCCGCCGACTTCATCGCCGCCATCGCCGCCGAGACGGAGAAGTTGGCGGGGAAGAAGAGCGCCTGCTCGTAGATGCGCCGCAGGGCGATGCTCGCCTTGGTCAGCTCCGCCGGGCTGAAGGTGTTGACGATGGGCGCGAGGGGACCGAGCTCCGTCCCGTTCGGTATCTGGAGGCCGTCTGAAAATAAAAAATATCTTATTAGATTTTGCAAATAATCATAAAGGTCAACTTACCCTTGGTGGTGTCCTTCTTCCCAGCACCAGCAGCATTTCCAGCAGTGCCGTTGACAGCCGCCGCCGACGTCTGCTGCTGCTGCTTCTCCAGCGCCGCCGCCCTTGCCGAGGAGCGTTCTCCTTTGGAGGTGGAAGTAGCCGCAGCAGCTTTCTCAGAAGTCGCTACGGCTTCTCCTGAGGAGGCGGCTGCTCCTAAGGAGGCCGCAGCTGCCGCTGCTGCTACTGCCGCCTCCACAGCCGCCGCCTCAGCAGCAGCCGCTGAAGCGGCAGCAGTACTGCTACCGCCCTGGTAGAGCTCCGCCTCGAGGACTGACTCCATGAGGCCGGCCTCGAAGAACATGGCGAGGAAGGAGGTGATGAAGGGGTCGTAGTCGTGCACCCGCCGACTGTCATCGAGGCGGTACCGCCGCTGCTTCGCCTCCTCCTCCGCGTGACGCCGCCGAGCGGCGCCGATCTGCCGATTGAGCCCATTCAGCAGCGTCAGCAGGTCCTTGAGGATGGGCGCCTTCAGGTGCGACTCAAAGTCGGCCACTGAGGGTGAGGAGGGTGAGGGTGATGAGGAAGATGACTGGAGGGCTCGAATTCGCTCGAGGACGCTGTATATCTGCTTGTTGGTGGTGGAGATGGTGGTGGCTGAAGACTCTTCAGAGGGCGTGGTGATAATGGTTGGGGTGATTGTTGAGGAGGAGGTTGATGATGGTGGTGAAAAGTTAGAGGTAGTTGACTTAGATGATGGTTTGATGGTCGCTTTGGAAGCCTTCGAAAAAGTTGGAAAAAAGTTGAAAACAAAACATGGGAAAAAGTCATTGAAGCACTTACCTCATCGTTTTCAATTTTAACGATTGTAGGCGTCTGCTCGCCGTCGACCTCGA